ATTTATTTATTGCATGTTATAAAAGTGCATTTTTTGCATAAAAATTCTTTGATGTAAAACATACGGTAAAAATAAATAGATTATTACTAATTACTAATTTTGTTCACATAAAAAGCGGATAAATAAGTGCACAGCTTTATGTCAACCGTGTGACGTTTATTATTATAGACAAAAGTCAAAAATTTTATAAAGCATTTGCAGAATTGTTCAACTTTAATAGACCAAAAGCGCGAAATAACATCTCGTGAAGAATGCATAAAAATTCATTCAATCATACATCAATTGTTCGCCTCGAGTTTTCGAAATATGTTACAATATGCATGATATGTTTCCAAATTAACAAACGAGAAAGAGATATTTATGAAAGTCAACGAAGTATGTTTTTCAATAGATATTTTACAGAAACCATGTAAATGTAAAACTGCAACGTTTATACGATGTGCACACTGTCGTGAAAATTATTGTTTTACTTGTTTTTATGACAAATATCATCTTGCATTATGTATTGTCCCATCTAGTTCCAATAAATAAAACATGTTGCGTATATTTTTACACGTTGCGTACAATTAATTATTTGCTTTTTATGTGAACACAATTAGTAATTAGTAATAATCTATTTATTTTTATCGTATTTTTAAAATCGCAAAGTTTTTATGCAAAAAATGCACTTTTATAACATGCAATAAATAAAAAAAAATGTTACTTACATTTAGAATAAACAAATTACTTACATTTAAATTATATTGTAGAATTTTGAGAAGAAAAAAAAATTATATCGAGACTCGAACCAGCAGCGTCGACATTACTAACCTAGTACGCTACCGCTACCAGTGTTGCTGCGAAGTCGCGTTTTCGCGTATGCGCACTGTACAGCCAATTAGATTCCCGTAAAAGCTGTGTTCTCGCGCATGCGCCTTTAAATGTAGCNTAAAAATATTCATGATTCGTGATAAACAATACTTAATTGTAAATTTTTATTTGAGTGTCATAAAACAAGTTGTCATAAAATTTATAATAAATTTATAATTTATAAGTATATTTTATTTATTTATATTAAATTACAAAATCTATTATTTGTAGTTTATTTATTGAGATGTATTTTATATCTCTTTTTGAGAACAAAAACTGTTATATTGTGGATATTGGTTTATGTTAGCAACAAATAAAATTGGCACGTAATTGATTGATTTGCTCTTGCGACGTTACGATTAAAATCATCGTCACGTATAACGATCTTAAGAAGAATTACATCCCAGCAAACACAAGATATAACTGTTATATAACATGGGAGTAACATATAACATAACAGTTGTTATACCTGATTTATATTGAGATTATATAATTTTCTCTTATTTATGCAATATAACTCTGTAATGAAATAATTATATAGTCTGTTACTTACTGGCAACAATCAAGTAACAATAACGTAATCGTAATGTAACATGTTATATTACAAATTTTACGTCGGTGTTATTGTAATGTGACATAATTTATATCGCGTAGTTCAAGCGCCACTTCGTTGCGCGTGAACTTAGCGCGAGGCACTGCCGTGCCTCTTGATAGATTTAAGTGATTCATATGATTTATAAGTGAACAAAATTTGAAGATTTTATAAACAGAAAAAGGTACGTATAATACACACTACTGTAGAAAGTGCAGCGAAAAAGAACAGACTCGTGATGTATATTTTATGAACAGTTCTAATCCATTTTCAGCAATATGGTGACGGGCAATATGCCCAGCAAACACAAAGTAACAGTAACGTAACATTAATGTTACAATTTCCCACTCAACAATGTAACTGCTACGTACAAGGCATGTTACATTGGAGTTACATCATTGAGTGGGAAATTATAACAGTAATGTTACGTTACTGTTACTTTGTGTTTGCTGGGTGGTAATAGCATGAAACAACACAACAGTTAGTATTGTAAGAAATCGGCAGCGCGAGGGCACCACTTGTCGGGTGACATAAGCGATTACTCGCGCGCTCTGGCGTGTAGCCGAATTTTAACGAATCGGCGTAAATCATGCGTGCGGTGCGCGCCGGTTGTTCCGGCGAATCGAGGCGAGGACACTCTCCTCGGGACCAGGTTGCGAAACAGACGTACGACCTGAGAGTCGCGTCGAAACCACGTCGATCATGTAGTCATTTGTAACAGTGTTGTATTAAAGTCGGCTGTGCACGTGAATACATTAGTAAAGGAGTCGGTTGTGCACGTGATCACACATTGCTGGGCATTGAGAAGTCGTATCAGATTCTGCCGCTACCAAGCAGATCTCCTGACCATTATCACTCCTAGTGAATCGGAAGGCGAATAGTGTCGGTAAAGTGTTAATACTCTTTATTATTAAAACATTCAAAAGTCGGAAAAATCCTTACAGTATACTCTATACTCAATTAACTGACTTCAAATGAGCTTGCTCAAAATTTATATCGATTCTTTAAACTCTTCTTTTGACAATAAGATTTGTATTAGCCCAAAATATTAATATATTTAATTAATTTTAATTAAAATTAAAGAAGACTTTTTGTCCCTATTTATGTGCCCTTTC